TTGTATATGGATATAGACAACTGTTTGAATCTGTGATTTCATCACTGATGTTACTGTTGATATGGAAACTTTCTCCACCAATGCAGATCAGTAATCCTTCTATTACTTACAGACTTGGAGTATTTCCTGGGCAAGTTATTTAACTGAGTACCCCAGTAGTTAGTACCTTAGAGAATTAGACACCTCTTCAAGTCCAAGGCTAGATTCAGAAGCAGGCACAGCTCAGCATTGGTGAAGGGAGTTCCTTACCTAGAGCAATGAAATCAGAAGTCTAGTGAATATATGTATGTATGTATGTATGTGTATGTGTATATGTATAAATATATGTGTGTGTATATATATACATATATATATATATAAAATATAAATACAAACACATACCAAAGTGACATAATGTGGTGAATAGAGAGCTGGCCTCAAAGCTGTGAAGAACAGGGTTGAGGTCCTGCTTCTGACACATACTGGCTGTGTGACCCTAGTGAGTCAGTTAATAAACATTTACTAAACTCTTACTGTGTGCCAAGTGCTATACTAAGCCCAAGGATACAAAGGAAAACAAAAATAATCCATGTCCTCGAGGGGTTTATAGTCTAATGGGCCAGACAAGATATAAGTAAGTAAGTATATATACAGTATAGCTGGATGGTAACCTCAGAGGAGAAGGGTGTAGAACCTGGGTCGGGGGGGAGGACTTGGAAAGGCCTCTTACAGAAAATGAGGTAAGTCTTGAGGGAGGTTAGGAAATTTGAAGGGTCTGGAGCGAGAGGGCAGAGCATTCCAGGCATGGGAGACAGCTCAGGTAAAGATGTGGAAAAGAGTCCTATTCAAGAACGACAAGTAGCCAGTGTAGCTGGAATCTAGAGTTCTTGGAGGGGAGAAAAGTATAAGAAATGGAAAGGCAAGAAGGGGCCAGATTATAAAGGTTTTAATGCCACAGCATTTCCAAGAACATTTGTTCTTGGAAATAATGAGTAACTGGAGTTTTAGTAGGAGGTCACGTGGTCGGAATTAAACTTTTTTAAAAATCCCTTTGCTCACTGAGTAGAGGATGCATGGGAGTGGGAGAGACTTGAGGCACTGGGGGAGAGGGCACAGCTAGAAGACTATTGAAATAGTCAAGGTAAGAGGTGATAAGGGCCTGTAGCAGGGCTGTAGCTCTGCAAGTGGAGAGAAAGGGGCATATACGAGAGATATTTTGAAAGTGTATTAGTCACCTAAGCAACTTTTCTAAATCTGTAAGATGCAGAGAAAGTGCTGACCTACATTGGTAGAGGGATTTTCCTCACCTAGGAGTTTCCTGTATCAGTGAAAATACAGGCTCAACACAGAAAGACACATATATGACATATGCTACAGGTCCAGTATATATATACATATATATAGCATATATGTGTTAGATGTCCAATCCACACACACAACTATATATTATAGGTCTAATTGTGTATATCTATATATGTGTATATATGGATATGGATATGTATGTATATGTAATGGATCCATTTTCTATTAAGCAAAGATATCTGAGGTATGAAACAAGCTCATTTGTAACAACAGAATACTTAATAGAAAAGTAGATTTTTGTATTACAGGTTAAAGTATGGGAAATGGATGCTTGGATTATGGGAGAAAGTTGATTCATGATCAGAAAGCAGTTGCTATAGAGCATAAAAAGAGAAAAAAAGGTTGAAAAGAATAGCAATAGAGGGGGACAGGTAGGAATACACAGTAAAGAACAAGAACAAGTTTAATTTCGTTTGAGCTAGGTAGGCAGCTGGATGGTAAGTTAGTTAAGAGAAGTTTGATGGAATCAGCTTGACAGAAACATAATGGAGAAGAGTTTAAAACTGAGAGCACTAGACAGCAATTTCAGGTCCTAAATTTCCACATCCAGGTTAAAATGATCTAACCAATATAGTGAAATAGCCTAAATAGTATTGAGAAAATAAAATTTGCTTCTCTTTTGTAATTGATTCTAGTCTGTATCATTGCTGATATTTTGTATGACAGCCTGTCATATTTGTCTCTAAATTAAGTTCAGAAATTCATAGGGTCACAAGTTCAGTCTTTCTGAGTTAAAAGTTTAGTTTCTCTGTAAATCAAAAGAAACCTGTTATCTTTATACCACTAGCTGTCCTTGTACAATTAGACGAAATCTTTTAACTATATACCGTTAGATATTCTTAGAGGTAGATGAAGTCAATCAGAATTTCCTAGCAACAAGATGGAAAGAGGGGTTGTTGCTAGTCCCTCCTTCCCAAATTCCAGCCAATCACATTGTCCCTCATGTCTATGATGCTTCTGACCTTGTAAGCAATAGTAACTTCTTCCCTATCTGTGATTCTGCCTTTTACTTTTTGGGTGCTCCCCCTTTTGTCTGTAAAAATGATATTTCAGCCCTCCTTTGGGGGTCTTAGCTTGCTCAGGAGGCTAAGACCTTGTTTATTAGCAAATCCATGCTTTGCTAGTAAATTGATTGTGATTAGGAACTTGTGCGTCAGTTTACCTGAATTTCAATTGCAACCATATGGATAAAAAGGTTATAGTTAAAATGTGTGCTGTTATATATAATTATTCTTCACCATGTTTACATGATACAGCAATATTTATAGACTGATAACTATGTCAGTTTCATTTTTTGTTTGACAAAGGTCACTTTAACCTTAAAACTTTTCCTATCCATCTTTGCATTTTCTCCTTTTTTTCTTCCCTGTCTTTTTATCCTTCCTTCCCCTACACATGCTTTTAAAACCGCACCACCCCTATCAGCACCTTAAAATGTTCACCATTACGGGGAAGTTTGAGAGTATTGGAGGAACAATAAGTAAAATCCTCCTTCTTTCTGCTGTATTGTACATCTGGACTCTGGATAAGTTAAGAGTTTCATCCTTTAATACTTTTAATTCTAATTCTTGCAGTCTGAATTCATTGCTTCGATTAAAAGAGTGGGTCTCATTAATGCCAAAAAGCAGAGACCCAGATAGCACAGTGGGCTAATATGGTGACCTCGTGACTTTCAGAGGTAGAATGGAGTAAATTATCTGACATAAAAAAGGCCCAAAAGAAATTCTACGGTGCCGAGGAAGAGGGGGGAAGTAGGTGGAAGGGGAGCACGTGAACCTTCATGTCATTGGAAATGGCTCAAAGAGGGAATAATACACACACTCAGGAGTATTAATCTATCTTGCCATATAGGAAAGTAGGAGGGGAACGGGGGGACTCATAGGAGGGAGGACAGATTGGGGGAGGTAAAAGTCAGAAGCAAAACACTTTTGAGAATGTGCAGACTAAAAGGAGAGAGAGAGGGTAAGATAAACAGGGAAAAATAGGATAGAGAGAAATACATAGTAATCATACTGTGAAAAAAAATTTTACAGCAAGTTTCTTTGATAAAGACCTCATTTCTCAAATATACAGAAAACGGAGTCAAATTTATAGAAATAAGAGCCATTCTTCAATTGATAAATGGACAAAGGATGTGAACAGGCCATTTTCAGACAAAGTAATCAAAGCTATCTATAGTGATGTAAAAAAATGCTCTAAATCACTATTGATTAGAAAAATGCAAGCTAAAACAATTCTGAATTACCACCACATACCCATCAGATTGACTTATGTGACAGAAAAGGAAAAAAAAAACCAATTACTATAAGGGATGTGAAAAACTGGAACACTAACGCACTGTTGCTGAAGTTGTATACTGATGCAACCATTCTGGAGAGCAATTTGGAACTATGCCTAAAACACTATATACTATGAAACTATAAAAAGCTATAAAACTCTTTGACCCAACAATACCACTACTAGGTCTGTATCCCAAAGGGATTAAAAAATGTGTAGAAAAATATTTATAGTAGCTCTTTTAGTGGTGGCAAAGAAATTGGAAATTGAGGGGATGTCCATCAATTGGGGAATGGTTGAACAAGTTGTTATATATGATTGTTTTGGAATACTATTGTGCTATAGGAAATGACAAGCAGGATGCTCTCAGAAAAACCTGAAAAGACTTATATAAACTGATGAAAAGTGAAATGAGCAGAACCAGGAGAACATTGTACACAATAACAGCAATACTATATTACAACTTACTGTGAATAACTTAGCTATTCTCAGACCCACTCTTTTAATTGAAGCAAGATTCAGAACCAAGATGGTTCTGAAGGATTTATGATGAAAGGTGGTCTCTGTCTCCAGAGAAATAACTGATGGAGCCTGAATGTGGCTCAAAGCTACTTTTTCTTTGCTTTCTTTACTTTTTGTTTTTCTTTGCCTTTTTTCTTTCACAGCATGACTTACATGGAAATGTATTTTGCATCACTACATATGTATGACCTATGTCAAACTGCTCACCTCAATGGGGGGGAGGGGAAGTATGAGAGAATTTGGAACTCAAAATTTGAAAAAAAAAAGAATGTTAAAATTGCTTTTACATATATTTGAGAACAATTAAACGTTAAATTAAAAAAACTTAAAAAATAGTCAGTCTGAGGCTGTGAGTGTTATGAATCTGGGAGTTATTACATGATATGAGCTAGTTCTGGCCTATATAGAATTCAACCAAGGTCCATATTATATTCAGTGGTCCTCTAAACCCTTTCTGAAATAAGCTAGGAATGAGAAACAGGGCTTAATGAATTGATATGTCCGGTATAATCACTAATAATTGTTTAATTTTATAAAGTGCTCTCATAATCATCAATATTTTGAAACATACACCTTGCAAAACTCTTGGTGATATGTGTTTTCATTTAATTAATATGGAAAGAATTATAAAATCTAATAAATCAGATCATGAGTAGCAGAATGTAAATGTTCACTTATGAAATGCCTTTTTTTGGTTATTACTTAACAAAAGCTTTTTGCTGACTTAAACTCACAGGATTATTTTAAACTGGGAATAATGTTAAGATCAGCAAGGCATATTTCAGTCTAAAGAAAGCAAATCATTTTTTGCTAGCAATATATTTATGGAAAATTATTCCTTTCTAATTTTCCTTTTGTAGATGCAAAATATACAGAGTACAGAAGGAGTTCAGTATAGTTCCCATCCTCTGATGGCAGCCATGAGACCAAGAGTTCAGCCTCCAGATGTTAGGCAGCCTGTAATGATACAGCATGGTCAGCTGACTACCGTTAACCAATCACAGCTCAGTGTATAGCTTGGTGTGAATATGGTGAGAAACAATGTTTCCCATAACTTACCATCACCACCTGGAAGCAAGTCTGCAACTCCATTGCCATCCAGTTCAGTCCATGAAGATGAAGGGGATGATACCACTAAGGTGCAGTAAGATTTTCTTAGCAGCTACTGAATAAGATAGTCATTTACAAGTTTAATTTTAGGGTGGTCTTGTCTAAATTACGACAGGCAAAAGTTGTGAGTGTAAGTGGGAGCCACATCAAGTGGCATGAGAGAGCACATACTGAAATAACTAAATAATTTGCTTCTCCAAAACTGCTTTGCAGTTAATCTTTTAAAAAAAAAACAAGACATGCGTTTTAATATTAAAATAAATTCCATAGATAAAGAGTCTTAAGATTTGCAAAAGACATCATGAAAAGTTGCCTAGAATTCTAGGAACCAATTTGTTTTTTTTTTTAACAAGAAAATGTGTTGCTTTTTTAAAAAATATAAGAATGCTTATAAAGTGACTATAGGGTTTTGTAGCAGGAATTACAAAATATCAATTTCAAAAGAGACTTCGGAGATCATCAAATCCAACCCCTACCTGAATTAGAAATCTCATTCAAAATATACCTAACAAGAGGCCATCCAGAATCTATGTAAGGAGGCAGCTACTTCTACCTTTAGATGGCTCTCCTTGTTCAGAAGCTTTTCTTTACAACATCAAAAATATCTTTTGCAATGTCTACTTACTGCTTCTATATCTACTCTCTGGGGCCAAGCCAAATGATAACCCTTCAAATGCTTGAACATAGTAATCATACTCTGCCCCCAGGTTTTCACTTCTTAAGGTTAAACATTGTCAGTTCCTTCAGACAGTTCTCATGGTGCATGATCTTGTGGCTCTTCAGCATCCTGTTTGCCCTCTTTTGGAAATTCCAGATTATCAAGGGCTTTCCTAAAATGGGATTCCCAGAATTTGACATAATATTCAAGCTATAATATGACTTCACGTAACATAGGAAACACCAACTATGCTAATTGTTGGGCAGGAGCTACCACTGTAGGTTTGGGGCTCCAGCCTCTAGCAGATTCACTCTTGATCTGGGCAGCCAGAAGGAAAATGATGGAGAAGTTATGAGGGGTTATATAATAATATGTTCTTTTCAGTGGGTTCCTGATAATGGGAGCACCAATTCCTATAGGACACGCTAATCACCCTTCTCACAGAGCCTGGTGAGACTATAAGTCTCAATGGGGGCCAGTTGAGACAGGCATAGCATTCCAGCTTGTGCATTCCCCTAAATCCCCCCAAGCCTCAGTGGGGGCATGTTAAGGCACAAATAGCATTCTAGCTAGCATATTCCCCTTAAGCCTCTGTTGGGGGCCAGTTGAGGCACGCACATTCTCAAATTCCTACTCATGGACCAATGCTCTCTTGATTGATAGAGAAGTACACAAAGAAGGGAATTTGCCAACAATAGCCTCACAATTTTACGTTATCTCATCCCTGTATCTTACTGTGCAGTCACAGTAGAAACTGTTTACAAGCATGAGCCTGGGAGCCAGTAGACTGTTTTGGCCATGGATCCTGGGAACTATTGTCTAAAAAAAGAATAACAAAATCCTCCTTACTTACATTATGGCAGAATGTAGCAGGATTCTCACCTCCTGGTTCTGCTCATTTCACTTTTCATCAGTTCACAGGAATCTTTCCAGGTTTTTCCGAGATGGAGCTTTTAGTGGAAATCCCAGATTATCAAGGCCCTTCCTAAAATACAAATTAATATTGAACTATTAATGACTAGTCTTTATTTAGCCATTGAACCAGTCGGGATACACTGTCATCTCCAGCGCTTTTTAAAATATGAGGTTGCAACCCACAGTTTAAGAAGTGCTGATCTATCCCATGTCTCTTCAACAAGAACCACGTGAAGGACTTTATCAAATGCTTGGCAAAAATCTTCATTTGTTATATCTTAAGCTCTTCAAATTCTCATTCCTCCCTATCTTTGTATGCTGATTTCATATTGTTTTCCGTCACACATTTTATATTGCAGACAAACAAGTCTACTTGCTCTTCGCCATACATGACACTCTGGCTCTGTGGCTCTGTCAGAAATGTTCACCCACTTCACTTACCTCTGCCTCTTGGAATCCCAAGTTGAGCTCTACTGTCCCTTTCTGTAGGAGCCCTTTCTTGATCTCTCCAGTTATTAGTGCTGTTTTTGTCCCTCTGCAATTATTTTGGATTTACTTTGTGCATATGTTGTTTATATATTTGCATATTTATTGTATCCCTCAGTAAAATGGAAATTCATTGAGAACAAGAACTATTTCTTTGTTATTTTTCCTATCTCTTTCCTATTTCCTATCTATCTATATCTATTCCTATTTTGGGTCAATAAATACTTGTTTAATTGTTAGGAATGTAAGTGAATTCTTTAATTTCTCTGATCTACTCTTCTTGTAAAGCTATGTATAAAGGAAATAAGGTTGTCTAGAATGACCTGTTCTTGGTAAAGCCATGCTACGGCCTTCTATTCACAGCTTCTTTTTCTAAATATTCATGATCTCTTGTTGGTTATTTCTTGATGTTCTAGAATTTTCCAGTGTCTTGTAATTTGAAAATTCTGCTCTTTTCCTTTTTTTTGAAAGTAAGAGCACTTTCACTTTCATCAGATTTCTTCCAGAAAGTGAAAAATAATATGGTAGCATAGTCAATATTATGGTATGCTGCTTTATTTCATACTGCAGAAAATACCCCATGAAATCTGCCCAGCCAATCTCACTTCTCAATACCTTCACCAATACTCTATTAACAAAACCTATCACAAAGTTTCCAAATCCTGTTAGAATGTCATTCTACTTTATATTGTGTTTTCATGAAACTATATAATGACATTCAGTGATAGTAGGCTTATATGTTTATAGAAGTTTCTAGCTTTTCTAGTGGAATGCACTTAATAAATTCTTTTTTCAATGGCATTTTGATATTCATGATGTACTTTCTTCAATAGTCAATTCTCCAATTGTTTGCTGTTGAAGAAGAGATAAAATTAGGCAGAGTATAAGTATAAACTTTAGGATATATGGCTTTAGAATATAACCTTAAATTTACAACATAAAGAAGAAAATTGTACCCCCTATTGTCACTATGATAGGATATAAGTCAGAATGGAAGAGCACAGATCATCATGTATAATCCACAAACCAGATAATCAGATATTTGGGGATATTGACAATCTAAAACTTTAAATTATGAATTTGCTATCTTAAATAGTATTATTAAGCAGTGTGGAACATCCTGATGGCATCTCTCCAACAAATGTGTATTTGAACCAAAATGATACTCAAAAGCATCCTTTTTCCCCCCTAGTGATGTCAAAGAGCTGATTTCCTATGGATAATTCACACCCGCTTACAAAATAGCTTCACTGAAAAAATTTCACCTTTACCTTTGCAGACATGGCAATGATTTGCTTTGCTTGTCTTTGCATAGTTGGCACAAGGAAGGGTTCTATTGGGTGCCCAGGAATGAAAAGAGAAGAGACAACACTTAAGTTGGAAGTGAAAGTGATGGAACTCCCCCCCCCAAAAAAAGTATAAATAAAACATTCCCAAAGGAAAAAACAAGTATATTGTGATATAACAATTATCTCTTTAAAGACCAATTTATGCATTTCTGTTAGGTTTTTAATCTTTATACTTTCTTTTGCTGAAATTATGCACATTTAAATAATTCATAAAATCAGAAAAGCACTGTCATTTTACTAGTATATTTGTTTGTTTTCCTCTGCTAGTATAAGCATGCATTTGCATATTCTTTTTCTCTACCGACATTACCTTTAGTCTGATTAAGTTTATGTAGTTTTCTATCTCGTTTCTGTTCTCAATTAAATTCATGCTACCATCCCAGTTGTAGCTTAAATTTTTCACTTTCTTTCCCTGCCTTCACTTCCTTTCACCAGCCCAAGTCTCGGTAGAAAACATGTAGGCATTCTGCTGGTCAAACCAGAATTCTTCGCTTAATTGGTAACTGGGATTGATATGTTGCTGTATTATATATACACTTTAGTTCTAGATGTAATTTAAATCACCAGTTAGAACTTGGCTATGAAGTGCATTGAAGAGAGACTTCAATGCTGTAAATCTTGCCTTTCTCCGTGATACTTTTTCATCTTCTTGAGAAGTTATAAATTTTAAGTAAATGATTTCTTTTGAAAGGACCACTGACCTCAGTTGACCTAGGTGGGTATTCATGTACTGTAAGTTTGACTTTAAGAAGAAAAGAAATAGTTGTGGCAAAATGGGCACAGTGTAAGTAAAGTAAACATCACCTTTCAAAATAGTGCCTAATATACTTTTCTGATTGTTCTGAAACTGTTTGAAGCTTAGGTCAAACACTGGATGTATTTTCCAGGCATCATTACAGAAAAGCATATGGATTGAACAAAAATAAGCCTGTGCACTAAATGCTTATTTTTAAAATCATATAATTAAGTGCTCATGTTGTCTATCAGCTGCTTCAGTTGAAGAGTATAGTCTCTGAGTGACTACATTAAGCTCACCTGAATTTCATGTTAAATTCTACTTAATGAAATCCAAGGTGTTTATTCATCAATTATTTTAATAACTATCTTGGATTTTGTGTGCATTTTTTCTATAGTTCATGTTTTTGCATAATGCAATAGCTATTCTGTGCTTCTTAACTGTAGTGGATAGAGTTGAACTTGGAGTTACAGAGATTTGAGTTCAAATCACATTTTTAGTAACTGTATTCCTAAGCTAGTCACTTAATGTTTCCAATAATAAACATCAATGTGAGGGAAAAAACACAAGTGCGCTGGATTCACCATAAGTTGGACTGATTTATTTCTGTTCAGTTACACGGGGTTCAGAAGTTAGGCAAAGCTCATAATGATGGTTTAATGGCTGATTATGCATTCATTTAGCTAATTTCAAACATAACTACATCCATCCTCATTGTGTTCATTTCAAATAACTCGTGGTCAGAAAACCAGCAATCATTCAAGAATATGATCAACAACTTGTTTATACAGTCATCCCAATCATAGTTATGTTTTCCCCCCAAAATAACAGACAAAATAATAAGCACCTCTATTTTTCACATGCCAGAGTCTACAGAGCAGGCCA